GAAAAAGATCTGGAACACATCCTGGCCGAATCAGGACTGAAACTATCCTCTGGATTCCCTATCACCTATAGGAAAAACCAGTATTTTGGAATTTGTGAAAAAAATGATACGAGCGATGGTAAATTTTATTTCATCATTCGATAAAGCATGTCGAAATCTATTTGAAATACAAAATGACCACACTTGGAACGCTTTCTGGACGAATTGCGACTAGAATTACTTCCAGAGTATCTGATGACTCATCGGGGAAGATCGTTTTTGTTTTAAAATTGTAAATGAATAGTTTGAGATATCGTAAATATGATTTTATCATTCGATAGAGCACGTAGAAATCTCTACTTGAAACACAAATGAAAATATCTGGAACGCTTCCTGAAAGAATCAGGGCTGAAAATACTCGAATCCCGTGCTAACTTCACCTACGTTGTGTCAATAATGTGTTGTGCTTTGAGATTTGCAACTTCTAAAGGAAGAAACGTATCAACTGTATACAAATACATGACATTAAATAACAGTCACATACTCTTAATTTCAGACATATTCATACGGGACAACTTATAATATTCTCTATCTGCTTATTTTTGAAACAATGCATATCTTATTTGTTTTTACTTTTTTCTCATGTATTTATCTTTAGTATTGTGAGAAGATCACATATTGCACATATCAATCATTGCACGCAAGAGAAAGAAAATACCGATGATCATATCTCAGATAAATAATATTAGATTGAGACATAATTTTGTCCAGTTTCAAAAACACGCGAATTAGTATCACAGCTAAAATCGAAATAAACCGTTGCTTTCCTTTTCCAATTGATCATGAAAAATGATGAAGTGTATCTATACTCCACACTTCAGCAGATTTTGCTTTTGGGTGTGGGGTGTGGGTGTGGGTGGGTGGGGTGTGTGGGTCTGGGTGTGGGTGGCGTGGGTGGGTGTGGGGTGTGGGTGTGTGTGGGGTGTAGGGTGTGGGTGTGGGTGTGGGTGGGGTGTGGATTTTGGTGTGGGTGAGGGTGCGGGTGTGGGTGTGGGTGTGGGTCGGTGTGCGGGTGGGTGTGGGTGGGATGTGGGTGTGGGTGGGATGTGGGTGTGGATGTGGATGTGGGTTTGGATGTACGTATAAGTCTTCTTCTACCTCTTACTTACCCACACCACCCCCATACTCACACTCACACCTCACACCCGCACCCGCACCCGCACCCACACTCAACACCCCATCCACACTCAACACCCCCATCCACACCCACACCCACATACCCACACCCGTGCCAATGATTCATTAAATTCTCGAAGCAATTATCCCAGCTCTTTTATATACTCAGTCAATATCCCAACCCAATAACTTTTTTTGTTGAACATCGAGCTCATGACTTCGCTGTTGTTCAGCAATACGATGTTGTTCATGGATCAAATTCTTTTCCTGCATTAATTTATCTTGAGCGATGGCAATATCCTGTTGACATTGTGCTTGTTGTTCTTCTCGGTGAAGTTCAGAAATGTTCAAATCTTGTTCGCGACTTCTTTTATCTTCTTCACGTTGCAATCGAGCGTCTTCTCTATCTTGTGCTCGTTGGGGAATCGAAAGGTTAAGATCTTGTTCAGTTGATCACGAGCTAATTGACGATCTTCCAGTTGTTGTTGTTTACTGACATTTTGTTGATGAAAAGTAATCACCACTGTAAAAATGCCCAGCATCAATGGAAGCAGAAACGAGGATGCCAATTGAAGGAACACTGTCAGCGTTTGTCTTCGATTTTGATTATTTTCATGACGCATCGGTTCAGTTATAGTGTTTTTATTCGGGCATAGTTACATGAAACTGACTTATAAAGAACACACCGTCGGTGAACAAGCCGTTGTCGGAGCGTGATCAAAAGCATTTTTTTAAATGCATGATATTTAGAGAAAAAAAGCATTATCGCTTGTCATAGGATACTATGTCAAATAGAAACTTTTACTAGATCGTCATTTCTTGAGAGTAAGGGAAAATAGCTACCAGATGCCAAGTGAGTTAGAGTGAGCGAAAGACGGATGATGGTGACAGTGACGTTCTTTTCTTCACTGGCTCTCACCCATCGTGAAGAAAAGTTGTAAATTGACGATTCTATATATATCCAGTAAAATTGCTTCCAGCTCATCATATCTATCTGTTAGACGAGAACGTCACCGGGACGGTGGACTGAGAGCAATGTATTCATCCTCCTGACCACCCTCACTCAAACCCACATATTTATTCACCCACCTTCAGATGATGCTATTTTCTTGACCCTCGCCCTTACCCTGGACACAGGTCGCCATCCAAGTTTCATCATCTATGCAGCTCACTTTTCTAAGATAAGGAAGAAGTTTTTGTTGGCTGCGTAAAAAGATTTATTTGAAAAGAGATTTACTCTAAGTTGAAATATTTCGAACCCACTAGTACTTGTGTTTCCCAAGTGGGACTGGTGTGTGGATTCTTTGCTTGTTGAGAACTAAGAACTTTCTCGTCGAACTTTGTGGATGTGAATATGGGATGAGAGAACATCCACACCCACATCGACACTCACAAGCCCATGCGATGATAAGTTCCGCTTTCCAGAAAATTCAAATAAAGTGACTATAGGAGAAATTTCATGGAAATTTAATCAAATGCTTTTAAGGATAATCATAGACAACTCGTCTAATTAAAAAAAGAATATAGAAATGAAGTCGAAGTCTAAGTTAGGATTTGGTTGGGTCTGGTTGGATCGAGATAAGAAATTCATTTAATAAAAAAACACCGAAAACATAATATATACAGGTTAGTATTTCTTACCTTTGGGAATATATTTTTATCTCTTGAAATACTTAGATGATACATCTGTTTAGATATTTTTTGCAACAAATTGTAAATTCTCTTTAAGTTTCCAAATTTATTCAAAATAAAACTTCTGCTGGTTCACTTTGATGGAAATGAAAAAACAAGATAAGATTTATAAAACTTTTCGTATATGAATAATTCGACCAATATGTTTTGTATTGACTAATGGTAGAGAACGTCTGCTCGGCTATCTGGCTATTGACATGATCGAACATATTCTTATGTGATGGGTGCTTTGCTCTCATTTCATTTTTGCACATGTGTCGGGTGTGCTTTTGTTCATGAAATGAGTCAATGACAAAATGCACGTTGTGATATAAATGATCGCTAATTGAAGTAAGTTTAAAGTAATCGGTTCCATATCGAGCATTCCTATAAAGTTTTATTGAACATGCATTGTCATACATGATTCCTGAAGAAAGTTTGCTAATTTTTCCTGAAAAATAGATGTAAAAGATATAACAATATATTGAAGTGTACCTATTCATATTAAATATCTTAAAGCACGTATTGACGATTCTGAGCGAATGAATTCATCAAATTCTGCTACAAGACCGCATGAATAGAATGATATCAAAAATCCATATGTGGTTGATCGATTTTTGTTGTCGAATAATTCATTACGTTTTACATTGCAATCCTCATCAGTCACATCATTTGACGCATCAAATTCCATGACATGATTACCAATTACAATATTCTTACTTGACTTGACTCAACCTGACCCAACCCAATCCTAAATCAAACCATATATTATGTATATATAAAAATGCGTGCCATAATTCGATAAAAATATAAATAATAGAGATCTGTTATATACACATTTTTTTATGAAATAGTATCAGAACAGTTATATATAATATTATAAAATGTGCCTCTATATATGAAAATTAGCTCTGAGCATTGTCACATTAATACTGCTCATTGCAATCTCCTGCACTTTAGTTGTAGCCAATTTTGAATTTCCTTGGAAAGCGGAATTTATCATGCCCTCCACAAGCCATACCCACACTCATATCAAACAGATATCATTGATAGAACGGTAATGTACTCTGGAATGGTGCATATCGTTGTAAATCGCCATTTAAACTAACGAAAAATTCAATTTCTTCCAATCATAAAACGTGTAACTAGAAGAACACTTCACAGCATTTTAGATTAATAAGAGATAACAACATTCGAAATAGAAATATTTTAATAAATCACTTTGATGAGAATTTCTTCGTAACATATGGTTCACTGTCAAACTACTAAAATCATATACACAATTTGACGTGTGATTGGAATAATAAAATTCAGAAAGTTAGAAAATCATTCCTTCATATTGACATGTTGTCAAGTGATAATGTTCTATATTGATATTCATCTGTTCAATATGCATTGACAGACTCATAGAAGTACATTACTGACCATTGACTTACGGTATCAAATAGAAAACGTCCCTCGAAAGTCAAAATAGATGTAGTCCGTTAGTGTTGAAAAAGTATTCCATGATAGTGACACATCAAGACATGTTACTTCTATTTCGTCTTCTCATATTTGTATGCATCTCAGTATCGATTTATGGTCACTTTTCACTCTACAAACTCTATCGTTCGACAAATGGCACGAGCTATCAATTACACGATTGTTTCTATTACTACGTGTTGAATGATATTGTTTCCGGTTCCATACACGAGATCATTCCCTACTGTATTCCTTCGGATTTGTCATTATTTATTCAAATTCAAAACAATACATCATATACGTTTGAGCAATTGAGCGAACAAAATGTAACGATCGATCAACTGTTGTCATGGTCGGCACCTATCGATGTCATTGAATATTATCAATTCTATTTAACAAAACCACATAACTATTCTTACAAATTATTGTCACAATTTTTATTCTACAATTGTTCCGGATCATTTTTTGGTAATTTATGTCAGTACAAGTTTGTAGTGACTGTTTCAACATTTACCGAGATCGTCAAGAGACGATTTTTGACTGGCTATACACTTTCTAACGAAGAAAAATATGAACATATAAGTTCATGTTACACACATCTACAATGTCATCGTGGTCCGTTACCGGCATGTCTCGATTGGCGTGAAATATGCGATGGAAAAGTAGATTGTTTTGATGGTGGACAAGATGAACAGAATTGTTGGCAACTTGAAATGAACGAATGTGACAATAATAATCAGTATCGATGTCATAATGGTGCACAATGTATACCGAATACATTTTATAATGATAACAAATATAATCCTGACTGTTTAGATGGATCCGATGAAGATTATTCCGAGTTAGAAAACCGATTTTCCTCCTGTCATCAAGATCCGACTTTTCGATGTGAAGAACACATGTGTCCAAGATCAGATCTGTTCTCATGTGGTGATGGTAACTGTGTTCCTATTATGATTCCGAATTATGGCGATGATTGTCGTAATTTTCGTGATATTCAATTATCGGAATCCATCGTTCGGTACAAGGAATATACACATTTGTCCTCGGAATGTTGGTGGATATTGATTTGTATGACCACGCTGGCAAATGAAGAATTTCATGTTAACCATGACTGTTGTTTGTGGGACGAGTGTGTGCAACTACTGAAGAAACATTGTACAGACTCGTTTGTTGTTTTTCCTTCATATCCAATCATGTTTGGTCATGTGTATTTCATCTATTCAACAATCAATCGGAGTGACGACTCGTTTGTGCCTGATTTAATTTGTTATAATGAACAATTATGTCCATTTGAATTTGCTCAAAAATCGTACAAATTGCTCAATCGATCGACGTGTGTCTCATTCGAGAAGTTAAACTTGACGAGGAAGCATGACGATTGGCAGGCACTTTTGTTCGATGTTCGACGCATATTCGACAAATGTCCTTCGCTACCATTTTTACCTCAAAATGATGGTCTATTTCAATGTCGATATTTGTCAAAATCTATTTCGAAACATCGCCTTTTAGATGGAATCGATGATTGCTTTGATGGTGAAGATGAAACATTCAAGAATTCGTGTTCATTGAATGATGTTTATCGTTATCATTGTCCCGATACAGATGACAATTGTATTTCACCTATTCTCGTACGTGATGGTGAAGAGAATTGTGAAGGAGATGAATTGACACTGGTCGAACGTGCACGTCACGAACGACCACAATGGCCGTTGATATGCGATACGTATGAAGATATTGAAAAATCTGATCGATACAACGAAACTGATGAAACAAATTGTGACGCTAGTTATTGGCCATGTAATAACATTTATACGCATTGTGATGGTACTTGGAATTGTCCGAACGGTGTGGATGAAATCGATTGCCCATCGAATTCAATCTGTTCACCAAACGGACACTTGTGTCTGTCTCTTGTTACATACGAACTCACTTGTCTACCTTTATCATTAGCTGGTAATGGAAAAGTCGATTGTCGAGGTGGTACCGATGAACGCATGTATTGTCGTAGAAATTTGTCTATTCCAATGGATTCCATTCGATATAGATGTCGAAATTCAACCACATGTACGTCTATGAATAATGTTTGTCCTGATGCACCTCTTCCCGGTTTGGTATGTCCGTTGTATGATGATGAAAGGAAATTTTGTTCTCAAATTCCGATCAACTTCACTGAAACCAGACTATGCGAATTCAAACAGAATCAAACCATTCTTCAACGTCTGTTTTGCAGTCTCAGCGATAATATTCAGGAAAATCCATTTCTACGAGAACGCAAGAAAAAATTCGTTTCATTAAGCAATTCTGAAAATTATCCTATTATTACAAAAGAGTTTCAGCATGCAACAATGAGAACGATACCAATACAATCCATTCCGATGCCAGACAATGAAAGTTTGGAAGAAAAGTTGAAATTTTCATATTGTTATCGGGGTATTCATACTTATTTAGGTGAAACAGATCAATGTTTTTGTCCGCCAAGTTACTTCGGTAATCGATGTCAATATCAGAATCAACGAATTAGTCTGACGATTCAATTTCGTCTAACGCAGGAGCCTGAACGACAGACTGTATTTCACATTCTTATTCTAATCATTAGCAATAACGAGTCTCGATATGTTCAATCTTCTGAACAAATTATCTATATTCCTATGTATGATTGTATGAAAAAATTTAATATTTATCTTCTCTACCCATCGATTCCGAAAGATTCTACGAAAAATTATTCGATTCATATTGATGCATTTGATAAGACATTATTGATGTATCGAGCCAGTTGGTATTTGTCTATTCCATTTCAATTTCTACCTGTGAATCGTCTTGCAACTCAATTAACTATTCCACGAAAAGCTCTATCGAGTTGTCATAGACAATGTGGTTTACATGGTCAATGTACAATGTATGTTAACACAGATAAATCATTTTGTCGATGCGATTCAGGTTGGTCAGGAAAATTGTGTAACATTGCACAGAATTGTACTTGTTCATCCAATTCATTATGTATCGATGGATCCATTTGTGTATGTGGACTTGATCATTTTGGTCCCCATTGTCTTCTTACTCGATCTGTATGTTCAACAGGTAACATTTGTGCAAACGGTGGTCTGTGTGTTCCGGTCGATCAACGTATTGCTGAAGGCCAATCGACTTGTCTCTGTACCGAAGGATTTTCTGGTCCAACTTGTGAACAATTGAATAGTAAAATAACGCTTTCATTTGATGGCATAGCTATTCCACCGTCTATTCTTCTTCATTTCGTTCGAATATTTGATGGTAATGCACCACATGAACGTACAACTATATTCAAAAAGATTCGAATGGATTATGAGACGATTTCTATATATCGATCTGATCCATTTCATATTTTATTTACAGAATTTTTCAATAATTATTATCTTACTATTCTTCAACAAAATGAAATCATATCGAACAATATATCAACAATAGTTCTTCCTTCTCATCGTTGTCGTTTTATAGATGAATTATTAGATAAAACTCGACTCGTTCATTCGATTCTTCGACGAATAAAATATTATCATTCAATCTGTCGAGAATGGTCAGATTTATCATGTTTCTACGATTCAATCTATATGTGTTTGTGTACTATCGATCGTCAAGCGAATTGCTTCGATTTCGATCATAATATGATTTACGATTGTGTTGGTCAAAATCATTGTGAAAATGATGGACAGTGTTTTCAGGATCATCCGTCATGTCCGACTACATCGATTTGTGCATGTAAACAATGTTATTTCGGTTCAAAATGTCAATTATCTACACAAGGGTTTGGTTTATCACTTGATGCCATATTAGGCTATCAAATTCGACCGAAAATTTCATTTTTTCGTCAATCGATAACTTTAAAAATCAGTCTAACAATTACAACAATCATGTTTCTTCTCGGATTCATCAGTAATATAATGTCGATAATAACTTTTCAAACCAAAATATGTCGAAATAGCGGTTGTGGATATTATCTTCTTGCGTCTTCAATTACGTGTCTTCTTACGATGATTTTCTTTTTACTCAAATTTTCTCTCCTCGTTCTCTCACAAATGGGATTCTTGATAGCTAGCAGATTTTATCTGCTATTCAGCTGTAAATCAATCGATTTTTTACTTAAAATCGTTCTTACAACAAGTAATTGGCTAAATGCATGTGTAGCTATTGAACGAACATTAACAGTTTTCAAAGGAATCGATTTTAATAAGAAGAAAAGTCGACGAATTGCTAAATGGATTATTTTTATTCTTATTCTGCTCACAATTATTTCACATATCCAAGATTCAATTCATCGACAATTAATTGACGATGATGAAGAACAACGAACATGGTGCATTGTTAAGTATTCTCATCTTATTCACGTTATTGATTCAACAATCAATATAATCCATATTATTGTTCCATTTTGTATTAATTTCATTTCGGCTCTATTGATTATTATTATAACAGCACGAACAAAATCGAATATTTACCCTGAACAAACCTATAAGCAACATCTTCGTCAACAATTTAAAAAAAATAAACATCTACTTATATCATCATTTATTCTTATTCTTCTCGCTTTACCTCGTCTCATTATTTCGTTCGTTTCGAAATGTATGCAATCGGCTCGCGATCCATGGCTTTTTCTTATTGGCTATTTTGTCTCATTTATTCCACCTATGCTTCTCTTTTTTGTATTTGTGCTTCCATCAGATGTCTACAAAAAAGAGTTCTATAAATCAATCAAACGAGTAACAACAGTCCTTCGATAACAATTTTGAATGAATAAAAAGAAAATAGCCAATGGTATTGTTGTACAAAATAAACATTTTATACAACTTAATTCTTCAAATCAAGTGTCGATTTTATTAAGGATACTTTTTTCCGTAGAATAGCATATTCAAAATCTCTAAGAAAATTATATCGGTCAATAAATGTCGAAAAAAACTGAAGCCATTGTCAGTCACCGATTTTGCCTCGGATTATGATTTATTCATCCAGTGAACTAAGGATAATTTTTGAATGCCGGTGTATCTCGTGAGCTTGTTCCTTGTGAAAGTTGAAACCTAGTGCCATGAAGAAGTGTCTTTCGAACATCGGCCAAAACCCGTTTCATTATTACAAATTCGATTGTGTCAGAGCTTGCAGGGATGATGAATGATCGCTAGTCACTGCATGCTGGAAAATCATTTTTCCAATTCTGCATTCTAAATATTGAATTCATGTGCTTTTTTCTGTACAATACAGACTTCAGATGATCATTATGAAAAACAGAAACACCTAGTTTCAACGCATCCATCTGCTGCTTTGTCAAAATATTTTGTTTACCATTGAAAACCATATAATCCATCATCCTGAAAGAAGAAGGTGGTTGTTCGACACATGAATCATGAATATGATTGTGGTGTACTCATATGTACATTTGAATTGACATGGCGGCTCTTCTACCTGGTGTCATATTGTCATAGGTACCATGGATCAAGTGATCACTATGATACGAAGCACTTCTGGTTGTCATGGGTACAGCTATTGTTGGCCATTGCTTCAGTTCTGGATAAATTACGAGAATATCCGAAAGTTTCATTCCGATCTTGATTTTTGTAAAGGTCTTGTTTGATACATAATAGCGACGTTCTGCGACCTCAATAATCGCTATACTATTATCTTATTCTTCTAAGAGTCCGGTACTCTCAGCAATAGGCGTCTAACATCAAGAATCTAACTTGACAATGGTACAACCAATTTTTACGTGATCTGATACTGAAGGGTTTCAGACCATGCTCTTTCTTTTACCTAGCGGACACTTTTCATGAAAATGCTCGGAAGTAGGTTTTCTAGAAAACCATGGTTTTTTGACACATTGGTCGAATAAAACACTGTTTTTAACAAAACCAAGAAATGATGAAGCAGTTTTAATTATATGGCTGTACTCAACAGAGAACGGGCTACATTTTGAAAAAAAATTAAGCCTTTAACTCCAAGTCTCAATTATTTAATTTAATTTTAATTTCTTTAATTTCAACTTTTTTTTATACTCAAATTACTCAACAGTGAAAAGTGATGAAGAACTCATTCGAATTGCATTGGATAGAGCATAAAAAACAGAACAAAACTAGTTATTTGTCGAGGTTCAGATATGACGAGATCTTGGTTTTCCGCAGGGTTTTCTGAAAACCTTTATGGAAAAAATTGAAAAATATACGTTTGTAATTGACTGAAAGTGATGAATTATTTTTCTGGCAGACGGAAATGAACAGACATGTACTTGGTTGGAATTCTGGTTCATTTTTCAACGACTCTGTTGTATTTTTCCATTGCTTACTTCAATAATCAATGTTCTTTTGCGGATAGAAAGAAACTGTCTAGACCATTTGCTCGTCCAGACAGTCTCTATTCTTTTCTCATCTCTTTGTCTATCATTTAATATATTTTTCTTCAATCATTCATTTTCTGACTAAGAAACAGTAATAACATAAAACGAGTGCTAGTGATAGAAAGGTATGCCTTATACTTGTATTTTCCCTGGCTGTCCAAAGAAAGTTGGCGACTTGGGTCATGGAAGACGAAAGGTATCCTTCTTTCGTCTACCAAGAGCTGATGCTTCTGAACTCAAGAAATGGTGTGATATTTTATCATTGGATATGAATAATCTCAGTGCAGCAAACACTGAAAGAGTTTGCAGCGAACATTTTAATCCAGATGATATTTTGGTACACAATAACAAAAATTCATTAGTCATCGGTGCCGTACCTATTTGGTTTAGTAAATCTGGTAAAGAATATGTGTCAGAAATTAGTTAGAAATATAGTTTGGCCACATTTTTTTAGGGCGTCCCATTCGAGTTACTTGCTCTGCTTCAAGAGCGTCGTTGAATAGCAACTCTTCTGGTGGACGGACTCGTGCTTGTTCTGCAAATTCCAACATTGCTGACGAGAGTATGGGTATGAGTGTGGGTGGATGTGTGGATGTAGATGTGAACACTCTCTTCAACATACCCATGCCGACACCCATCCACACCCACACCAACACCCAAAACCTCGGCAGAAATAAACGGTTATTTCGAACTTTTTAAAGTATATTCATAGTTCATTGTAACCTGCATGATACATATAGCATCGACTTAGCAGCGATTTGACACTGAGATACGTTCTCTCATTAACTAAAAATGATATCAAAATCTTTGAAACATATTTAAATACGTTCCACTTATGTGATCATATTCAAAGCATAAATCAAGTTTCTAATAATTATATATCAACATAAAATTTAATATTAAAATGAGGAAAAGGCTCGAAGATATATTTTTCGACATTATAGTACAAAAGTCTATATAAATATAATTATTTATTAAAAATTATATATATATGAATATAGATTAGATGATTATGATTATCCTGTGATTCACAATTGAATTATTACAAGGAAAACTCAACATAATTATTTGTCCAAAAACCAAACATATCAGTCATTGCAAGTTATTAGAATAAATTTATCACAAAATAGATCATAGAGAAATTTAATATGAATGAAACATCTTCATTGTTTTCTAGATTCGATTGGTAAATAGAAACTCTACAAAAATAACGTTATCATAAACTAGAACAACACCACAAAATTTCTTATCGAGCATTATACTCCTATAGATTCAATAAAGTCGAATTTAGACATAAGAAAATTCAACTATTTCCTTAGAATTATAAATATTGACTTTTTAAGATATGAATATCACTGTGTGACATTAAATCAATGAGAGCACTTTTTCTTTCATTCCATACCTATTACTATTGAATATTTTATTTTTAAAAGCATTGATGTATGTTGTAATCGCAACTTAAGTCTCGTATGAAACTATAGTATCTATTATTCATTTCAACAAAAAGACAATTCAATGCAGTACACAACATCTAAATTGATGAAAAGATACTGTACAACAGAGAAAATTCTCGGATAACCTATAGTATTTTCTCCCTTTTCAACGTTTCTGAAGTATAATTTATGAGAAAAATTTGAACTTGTCAGTACAGATAGATCATGACGAGTAGGATAAAAATTGTCATAGAATAAAAGTTCCCGGATACTGCCTTTTATGAGATACTAATGTCCATTTCAGAGTAAAATGGCTGTGGATATTTTTTGAATAATTTTTGATATGAACGAGAGAGAGATCTCCGATTTTTACCGTTGGAAAGAATAGATGAAGACGCATTGAATTATGTATAGAAAGATTTTTCTAACTACTTTTCTAAACGTAAGAAAAGTTAGCAGCGGATTCGAGTATTCTTTGCTCACATTCGCTCTTCAGCTATAATAGAGGTAATCTTGTGGACCTTCATTCTTCACTATAGCTATAGGATTCATATCCAGAGTGATTTTTCTAGGATCACTGAGAATCAGTGAGGGCTACAATCTTGCAAGTACATGAGGCACCGAAAAAACCTGCCTTGGTATCATTATGAAGTACACATTCTCAAAAGTCCATGAAACATCTCTATAGAGGTAAGGGTGTGGGTGTGGGTGTGTGTTGATGGAGGAAACAGATAAATCCACACACCCACACCCCCTTAATGCAGATAAAATTCAACAATTATCATTATCAAATAATTGCTCATCAATTCTTCGAAATTTACGTTTACAATCATCTGAATTACCGGACTATGTTATTGAATCAATACCATTTTCTTATATGGATATTAAACCAAAATCATCATCACCATTATTAATTAATATCCATAATATATTATTAAAAAAGATTTTTTAACTGATCCAATTATTGAACAAACATTTTTCTCCATGCCCATTAGAATCACTTAATGAACTTGAAAAACAAATGGTTCTACCATTTGAATTTTGTTGTTTACATATTGAACAACCAGATCATTATACAAAACTTCTTCATAATGATCCATGTGAAACTGTACCTGATTTATCAATAGCTGTTTATGAAAGATGTTCGATTTTGTTGTACTTATTATGATGGTATGATTGAAACACATAACAGAAAAAAAAGTTTTTTTTCATTTTTTATATAACAGGTGTTTGCATTCAATTGACAGTATGTGAAACAGCTCGATATGATACAGAATTATTACGAGCTAATCCACGTTTAGTTACTAAATAAGGTAAAATAAAGCCATTAGATAATGGCGCATTTTATGCTCTATCAAAAATTTTTACTATATATACATTTGCTTTTGGTCCACATTCTAAACGACGTCAATCAAATTGACAATGGAGTCATATTATGCATTACCAGAACTTGTGTTCACAAATCATATTTTTCAGTCATTCAACAACATCATCAACTCAATTAATAAACAAAAAACAATAATATATGCTTATATATCAGTTTAGATTAGAAGGATTCTATTTGAAAAACAAAATTCCTTTTTCATACAAATCTAATAGTTTATTGTTAATTTCTTGGAACATTTATCAATGAAGTGACATAACTAATTAAATCCTATTAAATAAAAATATTATTTTATCAAAAACTAATTAATTTATTAGTTACCCTTCTATTTGTTGATATAGCAAATTGTTGAATTGTTTCATCACCAGCCTAGAAAAAAAAATGTACTATTGAAATAAAAGCTAATTTATCGTTTTTATCAACTATACTTTGTTTAATGTTTTAATATCAGCTCCATATTTAACTAATAACTGTATTTTTAATAAATTATCTCGAAAAATAGCCACTTGTAAAGCTGTTGTATTTGTTGATTTATCTTCATATTGAGCATTTTCATCATTATTAAGAAGTAATTTAATTATTTATTTATTATAATCATATATTCTTTAGAAAATATTTTATTAGTCTGTAAAATATTCTTTTTACCTGCTCGATGTAATGATATTCATTTACGTATTCCAAATTCTCTATATTCATTTCAATTTTTTTTATCTTTATTAAAATGTGTAACTATAACAGCAATGGTTTCCTAATTTTTACTGTCAATCTCATAATATAATAGGGATGTGAATTTATTGTTATTGTTATTAATAACAATAACAAAAAAAGTTATTTGTTATTAATAACAAAAAAATAACAAATAACTTTTTTTTCCGAAAAATCTTAGTTATGCTTTGTTACTATGTAACAGTATACCAGTTCTGTTTGCTCATTATTGTCCGATTGCTCGATGATGTTACTGACCGCAATCTCCATTTGTTATTATGAAATAAAGAAAAAAAAACAAAATTTTTGTAAAAATTTATCTATGTAAGATTAATCAACTGTTTCAATCTTGATAAATATAATTATTTAAATGAATTGAATAAAATTTGAGTCCAATTTCGAAAAAGTTTAGATTGAGATAAATGAAGAATTATAATTAATAATAAAATCTTTGTAATATTTGAATTTCATATTTATTAATATAAATATTTGTCGAATGTTCTTCTAATAATTCTTGATCAAATATATTTATAATAGTAGCTTTATTAGATTTAATTATACTATTTTCATATACAAGTGATAAATCAATATTAATTGGAATAAAAGATAATTGTTTGTTGATATAACTAGATGGGTTTGTTTCGATTTAGCTGGATGAAAAACATTATCATTCCGACGATTTATTTCATTTCATGTATCGATTGATTCTTTTTGTTGCTTTTTATTTTTAATAAATTAAATAGAGTTTAGTAAAAAGGAAAAGAAAAAGTTTGGTTCTATTCTTTTTCTTATTTGTTATTTTTGATTTCCGATAGATGATATACGAAGAAAAAAAAGAATTCTTCTTTTTTCACATTTTTTTTTAATGAAAATTTTTCTATTTTGATGAATTTCAAGTTGAAAGCAAAGTTAATTTATTTAATCTATTTTTTAGTTTTATTTCAAAAAAAAGTTTAAATCAATATGATGATTACTAAATAGATTTCGATATTCTATAACTATAAATTAATAAAATAGTCGAATACTATTTTAACCTTGTTTTTATAGTTTATTTTTAACTTTTCAGTTTTGTTCGAAGGAAAATATTTATTTGTGTTTGTTTTGTTTTTTGTTGATGTTGATTTATTAATTGACTATAGAATCCTTTTATAACTTAGAAAAATATTCATTCGAATCATATTTTAACTATATACGTTTATATTTAGGATAAATAACAAAATGTTTTTTTTTTCTAAAAGAAACATTCTTATCGTTCATATTTAATCAAACAAGGTTTTACTCAAAAAAAAAAATTACATTAAATGTATATGTATAGAATTGAATGAAATAAATACATAGATTTGTCTAAAGTTTGTGTTAATGATAAATTGAAGTAAAACAAAATAAAACAAGAAAACATTTTTCTTGTAAAACAAAATCAATAGCAAAGATTTATAAACTTTTATTATGACTAATAAAATTAATATTACTTTATACCTTAGATTTTCGTAGAAACAAACTTTTCTTGTTCATTCTTCTTAACAAGAGAAATTAATTTTTCGTTTCTAAGAAACTAAAAAACATACCACTTACTCTAGCAGAATTTTATCGTGTTCTATCTGAAAAATTCTAGAATTTAAACATGATTACATTTCTTTTGTCGGAAAAAATTCATCTTGTTTTCACAGATTCCATGTTGCTTCATGATCAAGTTGGCACAATGATTAACTCTTTCGTTGAGGATCTATTATAATTAATTCATGAGATTGATTTGATTAAGTCTCAAAGTATTACATTTATGGACACTAAAATTTTGTAGATTTTCAAAAAGTTTTAAGATATCTTCGAAAAACTACCTATTGTTATCGCCTTTATAGTGGTGGTGATGCTGCAATAGATATCTCTGCTAGATAAAGCGATTCAATTTTGAGGTGTATTATATCGAAACATGGTATTTCCATAAGTTGTTAATTTTGATTGTTTTTCAATAGACTTCTTTCTGTTCTTGATGAGATGAAATATTTCATTCAATACATGACTCTAGATTTTAATGGTCAATGAAAAAATTTTCTTATAACTAAGATGATCTTTGTCTTTTAAAGAACATATTCAATTATAAGATCAAATTTTTGGTTTCAACTTTATTCGTATTAGATAGAAAGATGTTTTTTATAAAAAGATTTCAATTTGCTGGGTTACCGGAACTTCGCCAATAGGACGTTCGCCAATTGATGAAATTCCGGGGTGCCTTTTGGCGAAAGTACAGTGGAGTTTCGTCACTGATGAAAATGCTATTTGGTGAAAGTCTTATTGGTGAAGATCCGGAATCCAAATTTGTTTCTCATATTGTTTATATGATATAAGAGAGAATAATTAATAAAATACTTTTAGAATTTTTAAATTTGATTCAAATACTGACTATTAAATGTGATTATGAATTTGCAATGCTGCTTTTGTTTTCCAATAGTTCTTGTATGGTTCAATGATTGAAGACTACTAAATTAACATAAGGAAATAGATTTACTTTAAACTAAAATCTTTTCTAAAATCATTTAAATATTCACTATTGATAAATAACTCATTTAAATAAGCAAATTTTTCAACTTAAACTAAATTCAAAGTTTGAGATTCACATATAGCTTTTAAAATCAATTCGACTAAATTATGGTAGATGAATTTGCAGAATACAAATATATGATATTAAAAGAGAAGAAAAAGACTACTTTTGAGTCTAGACTATGTATATCGTATTGATTAGAATCAATTATACGTGTTCTAAAAAGAATTCAAACTAATAGATTATTACTACCGAAATATCATAGTTTTTATCAAAATGTTATAGCTTGTTTTCACGAAAATTGAATTTCAATATCCGTCTTAAAAGTTTTTCATAATGATAGACTTTAATTAAATTAGTTCATTGTAAAAGATTTCGATCTTTGAATGATTATCTTCTTAAGATGCAATTATTATTAAGTCATATCTTTCGCACTTCTCATATACAACATCAAATTCCGATGTTTTTATTTAAATATAGATCCAATAAAAAAAACGAAAACTTTCACAATAAACCATTCTTTTTAAATCCTATTTCTTTACAAAGTTTCAAATCAAGATTCGAAAGTTTGTTTTTCTGATATTTCTAAAAGTGACTACGGCATTTTGATACAATCTCCAAAATCTCGACAACAATAAACGAGTATTCATAGTTTATTGTAACCTATATGATGTATGTATGTAACATCGAATCAAAAAGCAATTTGACACTAAGACACATTTCCTTATGAGCTGAAAATGATATCATAAATCTTTGAAAGATATTTAGAAACCTTCGATTCATATGACCATATCCGAAGCATAAATCAATTTTCTAATGATGATATATCAACATATGATTTAGTATTAAAATGAGGATAAGTTTCGAAGATTGACTTTCAGACACTGTACTATAAAAGTCTATATAAATATAATTATTTATTAAAGATTATATATATATGAATATAGATTAGATGATTGAAATTATCTTGCGATTCTCAATTAAATTATAACAAGAAAAACTCAACATTATTATTTCTTCAAGAAAAAAGAAACAAAATAACAGATCATTCATGACTAGTTTTTAGAATAAATTTATCACAAAATAGATCATAGAGAAATTTAATATGAATGAAACATCTTCATTGTTTTTTAGATCCACTTGGTAAATATTTGCTTATCCGAGAAAGTAATGAAAATAATCAATGTTAATATGAAGAGAAAGTCTATATATTAATTCGAATGAAGAATAATTATTCACTAGAAGGTAAAATAAGTTGAGCAATATGTTCGATCATATAAATTTGTTCTTGTTGATTGTTAACAGCATGATCAGCATTTTCAAGTAAAATAAATGTTGAATTATTTTTATTTGCTAATTTATTTTTAATAAAATCTTCAACTTGATGTTTAATATCATTTGGAACATATTCATCTTGTTTTGACCAAATCCATGTTATTGGTGTTTCGATTTTTTCATAAATATTTTTTAATTGTTCATCTGTTAAATCACTTGAAAAAAGATCTTCTATGGAATTTGATTGATTTAATGATAAACAACGTTGAATAGTTAATGGTGGATCATGTAGATATCTTGGTAACCATTCTTTAAGATTTTCTAAATTCTGTAAACAATAATCTAATTGATTTTTTGTTGATGAAAGTGTAGATAAATATTGTCTATCACTAACAGGTCCTTGAAGAATAAC